CTTCTCTGGCGCAAGAAGTTTTCGTGTGAGTGACAGCTTTGCAACCCTGCTGTCGAGCTGCTGTTCTCGACAATCTTACTCTTCTGTCCTCTGCGTCGCAGGTGGATGAAGAAGCAGCTTCGCACCGAGTACGCGATGACCCACCAGGCTCTGACCGAGGACGACCAAGAAGTGTTGAAGGTGATGGACCTTCGTCTGGAGTTGAACGAGGATTTCGACCATCTGGTAAGCTCTCCTTAGACCAACAGCGTTTTCGTCGAGCATGTGTTTTGTCGCTTACGTATGTTTTGTACCCATTGCAGACGACGACGGCCTTGTCGAGCCCCTATCAAAACGGCGCGGCAGCTCGTGTCGTGCATGGGGTGCGCCGGATTCTGTCGAAATGGGACGACTTCATCCTACAGCCTTCTTAGAAGGGCCATCTTACCGAAGCTTTCGACAGCGTGGGGTTGGTCCGCATCTCGATGACGTATTTGTCGAGTGGGTACACGTCAAGCGCCCATTTTTGGAAATCCATGTCCTTGCACAAACCGGACATCTGTACATAAGGGTGACGCTCACAGTCGCAAACAGTCACTCCGTCGAAGGGGTGGTCGTCACAATGGACGTAGTACATCGCAAGATCCTCGGCGATGGGCATTCGGACGGCTTGCAGGGCCTTCAAGAAACTTTTCGCTGCGAAGAACATATGCTCCTTGTCCTGCTCGTTGTTCCATTCCATCGCCTGAACAAGAACAAACGTGGTGACATTGAGAGATAGATGGGCAAAACTTGCATTCGATGATCACGCTATGCGCTCGACGCATCCATACCTCGTCGAGCCACTGCTCCGCCTCTGGAAATATGTGCTCCTCGATAGCCTTCAAGACCTTCGCGGGTACTTCGCTCTTCGATCTTCCAAGGTAATAGTCACCCGGTTCCGTCGTGAAACCCGCTTGCAGCTGGATGGCCCCGCGCGGGATGCCTGTGACGTATGACCTGCGCATCTCGTTCATGTCCCATTGACCCAGCTGCGCGATGTTGTCGAGTTCACAGTTTTTGTCGGCGAGGATCTGTGCCGCAGACCGTCGAAAGATATGTGTGACTTTCGACAGGATCCACTCCGCGCTTTTCATCGCCCAGGTAACCCATTTGGCATGAGTCGCGTACGGCAACTCGGTCTTGTCTTTGTCGAAGAGGGCGAAGAACAGGTGCTTCTTTGACCAATTTTCCGGGTTGGTGAAATCCAAGGGGGGCACGATCTTATCGTTGTTGTAGTAGAGCGGCACAAGGTCGAAAATGAAATGTATCCACATGAACACTGCTCCGAAGTCGCACTGCCGGAAGTCCATGTGTCGAGTCAGGTATAGGTGGCCGAGCTTGTTGTCTTTGATGGTCTTCGAGTTGCGATAGGCGACCACGAGAACGTGGATAGACGATTCCCCCTTGCTGTTCGTGATGGGCGGAAGGACGTGAGTGAACATATTGCAGTAGCGGATCTCGCGGATGCTTATCCCCCTGCCCAGCATGTGATGCGCCATCAGGATCATCACCCTCACGGCCAAGGCCCTCCACAGCGACTGACTGGGGTAACTCATCGACTCCCGAAAGTACTCCTTGGCCTAGTACGGCAAGATGTCTGAAACGAGAATGCGGAACTGCTCCTCCATGTAAACATCGTCGAGCGAGCCCCAGTGTGGATCGACGCACTGCCTGCATTGAGTGGGCAGATACAGCGAGTAGTTGGGTGAGAATTTGAGTGAAAAGTTTTAGAGTCCGGTGTATGGCAGCCTACTTACTCGAACTGAAAGTCGTGCAGCTACCACAGCTTGACCGCAAGAAGCTGCCGGGCCTCGGTGATGTCGTCCAAGGGTTTCGTTAGTGGCTCGTCGAAGAGTATGGCCTCTACTCTGCAGAAGCACGTCAGGGCAGTAAGGCGCGCCAGCATCATCGGAGGGGTGCTTTTTTTCGCCTTCCTTCCAGCGACTCTGGTCCGGCCTGTGTCCAACGAAGCCACCTGTTGGTCGGTTTCACTCGACATGTATTCGACGTACGCGCGCAAGCGCCACTTTGTTATTTTCGGCCCATGCAGGTGCTCCTCGTTACGCAGCGCCTCCCTCCATCTCGGCCCCATATCGTCGCCGATCTCCCTACCGATCTCGTCCTCGTAGATCACCTGCTCCTCTTTAGGCACTCCGTTGCTTCCCTCGGGTGCCAGAATTTTACAGGCCCAAGCTTTGTAGTGCATGCTTCCAGAGACATAGTTCGGCCGTGTGGAATCCTGGTCAACTCCCAGCAGCGGAACCTCACACCGGAGAATCCTGCTTTTAAGTGTTCCGGTCGCCAAGTACGGATTGTCTGCGCCCAGTTGGTCGCCGAGAATGTGCGCGGCATCCTCCTCTGAGATATTTGCCGCAGCAGGCCGCAGAGGGTCTGGCGGTTCGACATCGTCCGCCTCCTGCTGTTCTCCCGTCCAAACATCGTCATCGTCCGTCGCTTCAGGGACGTTCCTGGCTAAGTCCTCTCTGCTTGGTCTCGTCGAAGTGCGCCTAGGAGCGGCGGGGCCGGCTCGAGAAGCGGATGTGTCCGGCAGGGGGTGGTTGGCGAACCTCAGGCGGAACAGCCCTCGCTCTCCTACGTCGCCCACCTGTCGAGGTCGGTGCACCAGCTGAAGGTTCCGTCGAGCGGTGGGCTGTCGACGATGGTGCACGGTGAGCAGGAGCCTCGTGTGTAAAGGAGGCATTTGTTGTCGAGATGGGTTCTACGACAACAGGTATGGATTGACCTGTCGAAGGGAATTCGGTCTGTGCACCACCCACTTCAACAGTGACCGGAATACCCGTCGAACGCTGGTCCGTAACAACCGGCTGTATTACTACCGGTATGGCTCGCGATGTCGAGGTGGGCGCTGCCACCTCCGGTATGGCACGCGTCGTCGAAGGGGGCGCGGAAGAAACCGGCGTGGCTCCAGACGACGAAGGGGGTGGTGTCGAGATGGACTCCAATTCGACAGGTATCCGTCCTACGTCCGCCTGCCGGGAAGGCGCTGTCGTCGACGGATCGGTCTCCATCAATGCCCACCGAAGGCTAGCAGTTCTCCCTAAATCCTGGCCTGCTGAGGAAAGTGTGGTGCTTCTACTATGAATTCAGGTTTATACAGTGACCTTGGGCTGATGTTGCTCCCGGTGGAGACTGAGACATTTGACGTGGCAGTCAGCAGTTGACGTGAACGTTTGACTCCGACAGACGTAACCCGTCGCCCATCCGACAGCGACAGTTCGGTCGACCGACGAGGCGACAGGTCGGCCGCAGTTGACGTCTCTGTTGATTGTGACAGTTGGTATTTCGCAACCGTCGACCGTCAGCGCCACCGTGTGGGCGACATGCCACCGGGTGTAAAAAGTGTTGTCGGGGGTGCACGGTGCTCGACGGCGATTGGCCAATGTCCGTCGAGCACTGTTCGACAAATGTCCCCGAAATTGCAACAGTTCAGCCGACATATATATGAGAATAAGAATACGACATTGAACCCGCGGGTTTCGGAGGGTTTTTTGGCCTGGTCAGCCGGGAATTTCTGGGGGCCCGGAGGGATTCGTAGGGTTTTTTCGTTTTGCCTCAATTCCCTTTGTGCCAGGCGGGGCGGGGCGGCATGTGATGACGTCACCCGTGTGTATATAATTGGGTTGTTTTGGGGCTGCCACCGAATGAAAGAGCGAGGAGGGGACAAATCTCATCAGGCATTCGCTTTTCGGCCATGGCAACATCGACTCTAGGTCGTCGCGAGACGACAGTTTACATCAACAGACACATCGTCGAGTATTACTGTACACCCGATTAGACTTCATCAGAAACGGACGGTCTGATTGTGCTTGTCCAGTCACATTTCTGATTGGACATGGTCACCGATTCCATGGTAGCATTCAATGTCTTCAGGCGACGCATCGGCGGTCCTAGGATGGCGGGCAGCGTCTTATGCGATAAGCATGTTCGTCAAGCACTCTATCTATCCCATACGACTGAGCATGATTGGATGTAGAGAACGATGGTCACAATTGCAGAAGCCTCGCATGGCACGGGCATTGGGAACACGTCGCATAGCGTCGTATGAATCGGAAAGCGTCGCATGTTTGGCCTGATAATATTTCATTGATCACGATCACAGCTTACTTAGCGATCACAGTCTTGTTAGAGTCAAGTAATCTATCGGGAGAGTGTTCCGACCAGCCTTTCCGCCTCGCGAATATGAAAATGAGTGAAGGTACTATTGGCTGGCTTTAGCGAATTCGAGAAGATTTTTGCAGCAACCGACATCAATTACCGGAATACTCTCGAATCCCAGTTGGTCCGACGAGCTGTGGATCTGACGGTCGTACGAATGTGGCGAGACCGCAGGGTGCGTCACAGATGACGGTCGTTTGAATAACAATAGCTTCGGGATTGAGCGGATTGCATCACACATGGACATATCTCTCACTCTTGCTCCTGACGAGCTTCTCTTATCTGTTTTCAACCGTTTGTTTCAGTCCCACCTGCCCAACTGCTGTCTGCTGTGTGCGGCACGTTGTCCATAGAGAGGTCAAGATGGGTTAAGGTGGTGGAGCAAGAATTGCCAAATCGGAAGCAGCAAGTTCGTTTCATGGCTGCTGGTCAGCAAGTGTGTGTGTGTGTGTGTGTGTGTGTGTGTGTGTTTTTTTTTTTTTTTTCCGACGTGACCGTTGAGCAAGCTGAGCTAAGGGCGGGTACAACCATCAAGGTGGCTTCCTTGGAGAAAGTGAGCAGTTCGGGGAAGATACCAGTGCTAAATGTGCTACTGGTGTGCCTCGTTCGTCAAGCTCTCTTTCTCCTAATCATCCTGCTGCTGCAACTGCTGACCAGCAAATTCCCCTTTGAACTGATTCACTGGCTTGCCTGCCACATTCCTCTCCCTGCTCCTCGCTCCATCCTCGCCTCCTCTTCCCCCATGCCACCCCAACTTTTTTTCGTCGCCTCTCTGTGACTGCTCACGTGCACCCATCGCGACCATGTCAACAGAACCCGAGCGCTTCTTCCCTTTCCACTCCTCCCACCTCTCCTCTGTATCTTCCATCACCTGGCTGCAACCGTGCCGGCCACAGAGAGCATGGATTGCGCGTTTCCTTCCCAACGCGCGGCGCCCGCTGTCGCAGGTCCTACTGGCGCAAATACCAGCTCCGCCCTTCTCCGCGAGCCCAGCAGCAGCGTCCATGGGCGTGGTCCCGGGGAGTCGCTTGCGCCGAGAGAGCGGGAGAGGCAGGGGCACGAGCGTCGACACGAGAATAGGTACGTGAATAGGCATGGGAATAGTTATGAAAATAGGCATGAGAATAGGCACGAGGATAGATATGAGCATAGGCATGACTCCAGGGGTAGGGAGGGCGGCAGCGGGAGGTGGCGGAGAGGGAGTGAGAGCAGCGCGAGTGTGGAGTTCGCGGGTGGCCCTCATGTGGGCGCCATGATTTCCCCGCGGGGCAGCAGCTCTGCTAGCACGAGCACGAACACGGGCAGGGGCAGCAGCGCGCATGTGAGCCACCTGGACGCCGCTCTCATTGGCCCCAGTGCTGCTGCGGCGTTCACTGCTGATGTTCACGCCATGGCCGGGCCTGCTGCCCTGCGCAACCCCGGGCTTGCTGTGCATGGTGGCGCTGGTGCTGGTGAGGGGGAGGGCGGGAAGAGCGATGCTGGCTCGTCTATTGCTGCTGCTTCTGCTGCCTAGCTACCCTCCAACACCACTGGACCCACCACCGCAAGTGGCAGCAAGAGTAACAGCAGTGCTGCTGTTAACAGCGGGGTTCGCAACAGAGGCAGCAGTGGCAGGGGCGGCGGTCAAAGGCCCAGCAGTCGCAGGCCGAAGGCTCAGATCCGCATCGACCGCATTCCATCGGACACCTCCGCGGAGACAGTGGCGACGTTTGTGCGAGACACACTGGGCGTGATTGTGGACCGCGTGAAGATCAAGGGGTACACCCGCATCCGCGCCCTGCCCGCTGGCAGAGCCACAGCAAGCGCAGCCAGCACAGGGGGGGCAGCAGGCGCAGGGGAGAGAGCAGTGGTGGGGGGGACGCGGGTACCGGGAGGAGTGGGTGTCGGCAGGGTATGGGTACGCAGACTTCCTCACAGCAGAGGTGGCGGAGTTTTTGATGGCGAGGGAGGAGGCGCTGGTGCTGAAAGGGCAGCAGCTGGCACTGCAGTGCACCATGGAGCAGCGCCGCGAGCCTGAGGGGCTGCTCTCCCACGCCAATGTGCACCTCGGCTTCATCCACCAGCCCGGCCAGCTGGCGCTGACGTGACGCTCCAAGCCCGAGAGCTGCTGCGTGGAGTTTGACTTTCTGAAGAGGCGCGTGCGTGTGGTGGTGCAGGCAAAGGCGGGTGAGCGGGGGAGGGGTGGTGTAGGGTGGGGAGGCCGCGCGGCAGGAGAGGGGGGTGCAAGGGAGGATGCAGGTGCAGCGCTCTGTGGTGGCTCCCTGACGTCCATCCCCCTGGCGTTCCAGCGAGTGGAGTACAAGCTGGAGTGGCGCATGCGGGACGTGCGCCTGTGGGGCACCAAGGACGGCACCCCCCGCGACACAGACGGGCCCGGCCTCACCTCCTTGCTGCTGCTGCTGCTCTTTGTGCCGCCTGCCGTGTTCTCACGTGCATGTGACGACGACGTGTGGCAGCTGGAGCCCGACAGATGGTTCCCTGATGATGGCGACCCGTGGACCCGAACCACTGACGAGCACTTCCTCCCCGCGGGGGCGAGGGCGGGCGCTTGTACAAGCGCAGCAGCAGGCGCGTGTGTGGGCGTTGGGGATGATGGAAGGGGAGGTGCTGGTGCGAGGCGGTGGGACAGTGGGCCTGGTAGCAGTGGAGGCCGTGGCGTGAGTGGGTGGAAGGGGCGGGTGTGGAGTGGAGGGGTGTTGGGAGCGGCGTCGGTGATGCAGGTGTCAGTGTCGGTGCGGCATGGCATCCATGTGAGGCGCATAGCAGAGCACATGCGCACTGCATTGCTGCACCTCAGAGCACGCTACCTGGGCAACCCACCGCGCGTCGCCATCACCGCCCACTATGCTGCCGCCCCGCCCATCAACCTCATCCTTTTCATCTCTCTCGACCCGTCCTCGCTCCCCAATACCACCGTGCCGTCACCACCCCAGCTGACAGCACCAACACCAAAACTACCACCAGCAGCAGTGGCGGCAGCAAGGGGTCTGCAGTGCCAGCTGTGCTGGCCTTTCCAGTGCTGTACCTGCTCACAGCGCTGGTACAGCAAGGCACAATCCCCCCCACTGCCGTGACTGCCTCCTTGTACCGCACTCCGGCGTACGAGCCTGTGCCCGCTGCCGTGGCGGTGCTGATGGAGTTCCTCCGCTTCTCCCGCCCTGAATTCGACCCCGCCAGGAAGTTCTGCCAGATCGTCCGCGCCATGCGCCACCACGGTAGGCTGCAGACGCGAGGAGGCACCGATACGGGGCGAGCCAAGGAACCAGAAGGGACGCGTGAGCACCAGAGTGAGAGGGGAGCAGAGCAGCAAGGGTCAGTTATGGGAGAGTTGGAACTGCAGCCGCAGTCGCAGCAGGAACAACGAGACACGGAGGAGAAGGCAGGGGAAGCGAGCGAAGGGGAGAGCAGCACGTGGCCGTGGAGGCTACCAGCGAACCACGTGGTGGTGTTCCGGCTGCTCATCACACCGCTGGGCGCGCAGTGCTGCTTGCCGGGCGTGGAGCTGACCAACCGCGTGCTCACGCACTACCGCCCCCACGCGCACCACTTCCTGCGCGTCACCTTCACGGACGAGGGCCTAAAGACCCTGTCACCCTGACCCTGACCCTGGCTTCAGTCAGCGGCAGGGAGTTGACGCGCATAATAACATCCGATCGCATTGAATCGCATTGAACCACATTCGATTTTTATTAAATATTTATATATATATATATTTAGCAGTGGTTGCACATGATTAAAAGTAACCTCAACAACGTAGGCTGATAATCAGGGTTTCTGAAAAGGCTACACTGCTAATCAGAGAAGTCGAAATCCAAATGTAGTCCCCGTTCCATACCCGTCTGAGCTCCTAATCATGGCACACAAATGAACTTGGACCCTACACTCCCAACACACTTCTTCTCATCGTACACGTAATATTTTGAAATTGCTCCATTGGCAGCTCCACCATAAAAACTGTAAGCACCTGAGCATGTCAATGATGGTGACACTGGCTTTTGCCTGCCCTTCTTGCATATGCCAACGACGAATGACCAATACTCTGCCCTTAGGCAAATCTGAAGGGCGACATTTACAAACACAAGAAATGAAAAAAAAACATGTATTGAGAGAAAGAGATAGGCACACACTCAACGGGCAATCAAGGGCAAATAGTTGGAAAAAACACCACGCTGGCATATGAGAAATGACTCCTTGCCCCAACATCCATCAAGTATACGTTTAGTCCATCCACCAATCTTCCCTCCATTTCCCTCCCATCTCTTGCGCCCCCAACCCAGTTCACCTCCACCTCTCACCTGCACGCCAGTGTTGCTGCCAACAGCAGAGGCGGAGACCGGGATGACACTCGAGCAGATGAGGCCGGGATTGTTGCGGTACAGCTCAGCCCAGCGCACAGCGTTCACGTTCCCAGCCCCCGTTGGGTCGTCCTCACTCCCCGCCTCCAGCAGCAGGCGTTCACACGTGTCTTGTGCTGTAAGCACGCCGTAACGTAGGCACCGAGGCACAGTGAAGGCGAAGGTGGCGTTGCGCTCGACGCACAGAGAGCGGCCCGCCTTGATGGGCTCAGAGTAGTCAAGGCCGAGATTGAGTGCCGTGAGGTTGCTGGTGGTGAGGAACAGCTGTGCACTGATGGACCAGCATGTGTCGCCCTGGAGGGTTTTGAACAACGGGAGAGAAGGCACAGATG